GGGACGGGCCGGCCCAGCACGGCACGAGCCCAGCCCGTTTAAATGAGGCACGGCACGGCACGAGCACGAATATTAATGGGCCGTGCTCAGCACTGCACGAAAACTTGGGCCGGGTTGGGATCAAAAAATAGGTCCAATGGATCGGCCCGAGCTTGGCCCGAGCCCGCTTCAAGCACGGCATGAGCCCAAGCACGGCCCATTTAGCATTTTTTTTTTCTTCTCAAAAAGTCAAAATGCAATAATTTGACATCTAATGTCATTGTTTATATCTATATTTTTAAAAAAAATCATAAACATATATTTGATGTCTTTCATTTTAGGGAAATTACTTGGGTCTTTAGTTAATTAAACATATCAACTACAAATTAATTAAACAACATTGGACTTGATATCTAATCAATACATATGACATATACGCTTTTCATTATTATTTAATATAGAGTATTTTTTACAAAAATTATGAATTTGCCCTTAATATTGATGGAAATTTAGATGAAATTCAAAAAATTGACGGCGAGTCCCAAATTGGTCAATTTCATATAGTTTTAAGTCCTTAATTTGTCCCCAAAAAAAAGTCTATGATGTAAATTGACAATTATGATATAGTTAAGGGGAACAACACCGTATATTAACCCCATATTTCGATCCTGTGTGCCCATGAGATAGAAATGGGAACTCACTTCAAATTAAATGAGTTGGTTCTTGGGTTTAGAAAACACAGGAAACAACATCCGCTTATTTTTCTACCGAATAGAAAAACAGAGGAATTCTTCTCTCTCTCCCTTCCCACATCGTCACCCTTCCTTAGGGAAAGCAGATTTATTTTACAAGGATTCCAATTCGTATTTTTTAGTTCTAATTTATACATGCAGATTTAGAACTCTATCTCTCTATTTCCTTGCTCTGCTTTTGCTTCTATGAAAATTCTGTCTTCAACCTCCATAGAGGCCACAATCATTGCCCAAAAATACGGAAGGTTTCATTAGAGAGGCACCAAAGATCTGGAAATTGACCCCATCAAAACCCGTGGCCCCATTAGGCGATGTGCAAGGAGAGGATACCATAGCTTTGATAATCAAGCTAAAAAGAAAAAAGAAAAAAGAAAAAGAAGAGAGGTTTGCCGTAAGACATGAGAGTTATTGAGAGAGAGAGAATGAGACGTTTTCACTATTTTTGTTTATGAAACTGTTTTCCAATTAAGTTACCCGACGCATTCTTGAATCCTGAAAATGCAAACTCATTTTATCGTTCTTATTTTCTAAAAATATTATCTGAACACATTCTCAAAAACATTACCAAACAGCCCCTTAATAATTCAATATATGAAAATGCAAACTCGTTTTGTGTTCTCATTTTCTGAGAATATTATCTAAACGCATTCTCCGAAAACATTACCAAACAGCCCCTTAATAATTCAATATACGCATTTTGGTGGTGTCTTACCCTCTTCTGATGTTCCCACCCCTGGGCTTATTTCCCCACTAACATTTATAATCTCACGCCCCATGGAAATTTCAAAGAGACAATCCATCCGGAACGCGGACTTCCATGTTCCTCCCCATACCATAATATCACTTGTATATAGTAAAAAAAAAAGAGGAAGTATGCATGCCACCGGTACTGATACTAGAGAATATATGCCTTCTAGGAGTGAAAGGCGGCGATTCATTATAGTGACTCAAAGCATATTTAGTAAAAGGAGACGATTTTCCACCTGTTAGTTTATTCCAATGAAAATTATACAGTAAAACCTAAAATGGCAAACCAATGAAACATCGTAGGCCAATAACATTCAGAGACAACATATGTATATACACGATTAAAGAAGAAGAAAATGCAAACCTTTCAGTCTGACATCATCTGATTTTTTGGTATACAAATTGACATCTGTAACCTACAACAACAATAGCACTATTCTATTCCCTCTCAGTTCTATTAAATAACTTGCATAATCAGATTTATTCATACTATTGTTTTTTGACATAAAATACAACATCTAGACGACCATATGTGACAACCACAACTTTAATGGAGTCTATGAACAATCATGCAACTTCACTGCACCTCAACCAGGTCCGCGAAGGGTATCGAACACCAGAGAATAGCAGAAGTCCTCCTATCATCTAACCATATAATTGCTCTAGTTGGACCCTAAAGATCAACTTCAGATAAAGAATCTAATGCCTCTCACTCTCTGGGCCTGGCAAGCCAAAGAGAACTCAGGGCTCGAAGACGCGAAAAATAGTCATTTATTGCAAGCAGTGCACGAGCTGATTGTCGGGTCGTCAGTATACGATGCATTTGTTGCAGCGTTTGTTGGCGAAGATTGTCAGCCTGGTAATTGACCAAAATAAGATTACAAAAAATTGACGTTAGTAGCATACACATGAAAGAAACATAAATAACTAGTGGCATTTTCAGATGTTTTTAAGGGAAGTCAAGTCCCCAAGGCAAGATTACAGAAGCAAAAATTTTCAAACGGGCATAGCAATCTAAACTCAAGCCAAGTCCCCAAATTTGTGAACCATTTCTGCCGCACGTCTTCCACGAAACAAACTTTTTGAAACAAAAAATTGTTATTGCCTTCAATAATAGAACTCTAGGTTTTTTTTGTTTTTTTAATACAGAGACTACAGACTCAGAGGACAACAGTTTTCTAGTGTTTGAAAAAGAATAAAGAAAGACTAGATATTGTAATGATGAAACTTTAGGTAGAACAGCCGACGAAAACAAATGAAGAATCAAGTAATGTAAGAAAACAAGAGCCTTTTTTATTTATTTAAGGAAACTGTAGAAACAAAAACAATTTGGTTCCATTCCACCCACAAGTTCCAGCACCATACTACATGCAAGTTCCAGATGCGTCACTCAGAAATACCAGCATATTCATGATTGAGTTTTATCTATAGTTCTTGCAATCATCGAAATTCACTGGGATCACACTGCATAAGCAAGCTAGTGGAATCAACTATTAAGGGAATTCACCTGGCGTAGGAAACCCTCAAGAGTTCCTAGCTTTCCCATGGCCATGGCCATTTGACCCATATAGTTTGCTACATTTCCAGATGATCCTGATGGCCCAGGTGAGCCACTGGCCAAGGTTTCAGCCAGGGATTGCTGCAATGCCTCCATCCCTTGTGACAGAGCATCTTCAGCCTGCTGGGATGACTGCTGCAAGTTGTAAATACCCACCAGTTGCTGCTCAGTTAATGGTTCCAATTGATTCACCAGAAGCTGCACCAAAGCCAATACAGTTTAAAATGCGGAGATCTAAAACAATTAGAAAAATATAGGACAGAACAAATACATTATGCCCACATGGTATTCAAATTTAATTTTGAGTAGGTCATTATTCATTTTCTTTAAGAGAATAAAACATCAATTTTGATGACACATTCTTTTAAGTTAAAACTTGAGCACTCAAGAATTTCCATTACTTGCAATCAAGGAATAAATGTATTGTTCATTCCATGGACACGGTTTTGTGGGCATAGCCAAGTGACTCACAACATAGAATATGTGGATTTGAACCCATATACATCCAACATGTCCCTTATTTCCATCATGTATAACGTATTATGGAGAGACAGCATGTCAGCAAGACAGCCCTAACTCAGAATGTCAATATAAATGGTTTCATGTCCGGAGATTATCACACTTGGAGGAAACAAGGAAGAAAAATGTTAAAATAACATCTCATACACTAATAGAAGGATTTATGCAAACACCGCCTGAAACTAAAATGACAAAACCTTTTCTTTTTTTTTTCAAGTTCCAAGAAGATCAAGAGAAAAGTTGCTACAATGCATTACAACTGTATCAAATACTCAACCACAGCAAAGGAGAGTTGAAACTAATTTTCACCTTAAGGAGCTCGGATGAGCGGAAGCCACCAATCCACATGAAACACCTTTCAGCTGGTGTTTTCCACATTCCTGACAAGATGTGGAAAACATCAGCTTTTGCTGCAGTACCCTTCAGTCTAAAAATGTCATCGTAGTGAGCAATGACATTGTCAATAACGGTACGAAGTTCAGTGTCACCCGCATGTGAATTAACAGCAGCCCTCAACTCATTTATCTGCCTGTTGTGCTCCTCTAGCCACCTGGAATATTCCACATCAAATGCCAGAGCTCCTACAGAAGACAAACAATTAAAACAACAATGTTTTACCATCAATTATCAGTTAAGTGGGAACATATATACACATGTTAAATATACGGGCGTGTTCTTATGCCAGGCAGTTTAGGAATATAATGCTCCTGTTGCCAGAATATGATTTTAGACCATTGATTAGCTTGATTCTTGCCTAAATGTCTGGTCCAAATCCAGTCTGACAACATATGAATCTTGTGTTTCCAGACCGTCTGGCAAGAGAATATGACCTCATTATATACACATTTATACACACATGTATGTATATATATACATATCTATACATCTTAGCTTCACTAGCCCCAATAAAGTGAACATAAAACACATGAAATAATCTAATTTATCATGTTAGCAACTACATCCATATTTAATATGACAAACATAGAGAAATCTACAGGACAAACATTTAACCCCAGATACTCAGACCCAATTGCAAACGATCGGGATGCCCAAATAACAGAAAAATCCAAGACAAGGAAGCTGTAGAAGTATCTAACCAAAAATAATCGACTTACTACACACATGGTGATGGAGAGAATACCTAACCCTAAATGTACTGTGGGGGAGATTGATGAGATGACTAGGTTACTGGTTATCCTGGATGGCGTTAGATTGGTTCCCTCTAGGAGGGACAACAGAAGGTGGAAGTTGGATCACTCTGGGTTATACTCATGCCATTCTTTTTGTTCCTTCATTCAGGATAATGGTTCTGCGGAGGAGTTCCCTCCTTACCCTCAAATTTGGAAGGCTAAGACCACCCCCCTCCCAAAGGTTAAAATTCTTCTATGGAAGGTTGCCATTGGAAAAGTAAATACTTGTGACACTTTGCAGAGGCATCGCCCCTTTATGTGCCCTTCACTGGTGCACTCTTTGCAATATGGACGGGGAAAGCGCGGATCATCTGTTCATTCACTGTCCCTACTCCTTAAAGGTGTGTGTGGTCATTACTTCTGCAGGAAGTTAGTGCTGCTTGGGTAATTCCTAAAGGCTGCTTTCATCTGTTATCCTACAAGATTGATGCGCTGGGTAGGGGGAAGAAAGCTAAAGTTCCGTGGGGTTGCTTGGTGCATGCAGTGTTTTGGAATTTATGGGTTTGGTTACTCCTGTTTTTAAAGGATTTGGCTGTCTCTTCTATTATGCGAGATTAGTTAGGGGTTGTGAAGTGATGTGTTGCTCTTTTCTTTTTTCCTGGGTGGCCTTTTTGTTTGCTTTTGTCCTCTTTTCCTTTGTTTGTTTTGGTCTTGAGGTTGCTGTTTACTTTTGTTTTGCTCTTGTGGATTCCTTATCCACTTGCTTGTTTCTTTGTTTATCTCTTTGATTTTATAAAGTTTCTATTAAATAAATAAATAAATAAACTTCTTAAACATATATATGCATTTCAAGGCAGGCTACAAAAATATACACAACTGTGGTTATTAAGTCCAGGAAAAAGTAAGAATCAGTAGATGAGATTAATAAGTTCAAATACCATTTCCACTCATCGAATGAGATTGATCTCCAGAGCTTGAAATGAATATTCCCTACAAAATGTAAAACATTAGTATGATACAAAACATCCATTGTCTGCCGAGTGAAAAATGCATATAGGAAACCAACCTGCTGGCGGGCACGCTGAAGCTCTTGCTCAAGCTGGGTTAATTTCAGCCGGCTACTCTCGAGCTGTTGTACATATGCCTGAATAGAAGAAACAGATGGAAATAATGTAAAGGCATACACGAATATAATGTCACTTCCCAGTAGCTACGACTTATAATGAGATAGAGAAAGATTGCACTTAACACATAAGTGCACTGAACTTACAATCGCAGTTAGTCTAATAATAATGACAACAATGTAAAAGGGTAACAGATAATAAATTTATAACATTTGGTGACCTACCTTTTTTCTTAATCTGCTTTTCCTGGCAGCTTCACGATTTTGAGCAAGTCTTCGCAGTGTCTGTAAAACATTGATTCAAACTAGGGTAAGTTGATAATCATGCAAGACAACACTTTAATAATATATTCAGTTGAAATTATCAAACCTTTTGATCACCAGGTTTTTCTTTTGACCTGTCACTCGAATCCGAAACTAGAAGACCAGTCATTTGATTCAGTTCAGTCTGCACAAAAACAAAAAAATTAAATTCACCACCAAAAAACAGCTGAAAATCACAATGTTCTCACATGCAAAATAATTTCCGTATGGGAAAAATAAGGGATATGTCACTTTGAATCCTGGATACAAAAATAACTAAAGAAGTAGGCACTCTTAGAGGAAAACTATATGAATAAAGACGAGATGAACCAGAATTTATAAGCAGCAGATACTGAAAACTGAAACCAAGAGATGTTACCCTCTGATTTTTATCTTCTGTGTCATCTGTTGAAGTATCAGTCCTAGGGCTTCCATCTGCCATACTGGACTCCCCCCAGTTCTCGTGATTGCTACGAGATACAGAAGGCAAATTTGGTTGTGCCTCTTTTTGCAGTGGCAACAGCTGAGATCCACAATACAAACAGATAAGTTTATATCTGAAGATGCAAAAGACTGGATTCCACAATGTGTTCAACCTTATTGGTCTTGCAATCATTTTATTTTATTTTTGTTTTGTTTACTTTAGGAGAGGGTGATAAACAATTACCTTATTTAAAGAGCCAAATTGGGCATCACTACTCCCCAGTGCCTGGCTACTTAATTTATTTTGATTAAATACAGGACCTAAGAAATCCAAAGTAATCAAATCAGAAAAAGGAGTCCGAAGCAAGTAAATACCATAGTACAACAAGAATGAAATATGATCAGAAACTTTCTGCACATATATACATACAGTCCCCTTCTATTGAGGGACACCCTTTAGGGTCCCCTACGAATTTTTTCCAAAGATCCAAACCATCTATTTTTGAAGTCTACATATATAGATCATCCTTGCAAAAAATTAGACAAATCCGAAACCGTTTCAACATCTAATTGTATCCTACAAAATCAATGAACACGGTGAAGCACTTAAATTTCAATAATTCAATTGAATGGTCAAATGATATCAAATTCAAGTGATTTTTTGTAGAGATAATCATTGAATGAACAGTTTGGATTAGTGAAATACAAAACGGAGTGAGCCCTACAAGGGTGTCCCTCAAAAAAGCTTATTTGAGGAATCCCTCAACTTATATATATACATGCTCGCATTTCACACAAAAAAATTTAAACACAAACACAATTAGAATCATATTTCTGTATCTTACTCCCACGCTAGAAGCTAGATGTGCCTCTGAAGTCACACTTCAGAAAGCCAAAGATGATTAGAATTTCGAATATAACAGTAATTTTCAAGCATGAAGTAGGAGTACAACTCAATTAATTGACCGTTCTAATGAGAACCTAGATGTTGACTAGAAAATATTCACAAGAAAAAGCACTAAGCAAATCTTATTCATAACCTTATTTACTGAGTATGGACAGGAAAAGACAAAATAAAGGTTAGCCGTGGCAAAATTAATAGATACGATACGAAATGAACAATCATTCTACGCACGATAGGGCAAATGAATCTTAGAATCAGGGAAAACGTCAGAAAATACTAATGAAATCAGTAACTTGAAGAAACATCCATACAAAAAAAAATGCCAGTATTCCAATCTACTTCTGATAAACACCAAGATATTTGTTACATACTTCTCCCAATGTCAACAGCATCCTCTATGCGAAAACCAAGAGTTTGCTCTAGAGTTCCAAAGTCTGAAATTCGAGATGAACGAATGGTGCTCCCCTCTGTACCACTGAAAGCACATATAGTTAGAACCACGACTACCAAAATTGACAGATGCAATTCAACAAACAAGCCATTAAAGCTATGTTCATTAGCCAGAATGGTAAGACGAAAAAGGCATATTTGCAAATTGTAATTAAACTATCCACTGAGAGACAAATGTGAGAATGTTACGAAACCATCTTCAATCATAATGCAACCAGATGAAGGAACTTGTATAGTCTGAAAATATACACTAATTTTGACATTTCATATCAGGATTGAATGATTAACAGATCCTAATAACCATGAGCACCAAAATTGAACAAAATGCAATTCAACCAACAAACCATCAAATCCATGTCGTTACCCAGAATGATAATGCCAAAAAAGTACCATCACAAATCATAATCCAACTGCCCACTCAGAGACAAATGTGAGCATAAGAAAACTCTCCATAATGCAAACAAACAAAGAAACTTGTACTGTCTGAAAATCTACAATAATTTTGACATTTCATTTCAGTATTGAATTGTTAACAAATTAAAAGCCATGAGAGCCATCTTAAATAGCATATGTCCTGTTTTTTGATTTTGGGATCACTAATCATACTCTTGTAGAAAATAAACTAAAGGAAATGAGACTTCAGTCCCAAAATTAATACTAAATAAAAGATAATCCACCATGACAAGAAGGAAATTTCCAGTAATATTAAAAAATACTGTAACTATGTTTGCTTAATTGAACAGAGACATTTTTTTGACAGAAATTGGGAACAACTCCTCCTCTCCATAATACAGCAATAGCTTCTAGTTGCTCTTTCTTTAGTCCTCTTTGTTGGCTGTATTTTATGTTTAACTACTCAATCCTACATATACTGACAAATCACAGATACAGCCACCTTTCCTCAAATCATTATCTAGACCATTCATACACAATTATGCCAAAAAATCAGTGCGCTATTTGACCAAATTTGAGCTGGTTAAAGCTTCAATCCGATAAATTCCCAAAGATAACTTGTAACTTAGCTTTCTATTTAGCTGTGCATGGTGCGGAAAAGATGGATTAACTTCAGATACTGATGTTATACGCTGTTCAGGTTACATTATAGAAGACTTGGAGAAAGACCTAACATTACTTAAGTGATTGTGGTTCCATTCCACTTGTTAAACCTTAATAATTCTGTTCCTTTCCGGATACTACCAACTAGCAAATAAAGCAAGATATTCTAATTTCAGCGGCATATGCTACCAACATTTGTACTACATTAAAACTCAAATTCATGTTCTACTAGCAGAGAGGCAGAGCCAGACCGCGGCTGTAAAACTAACTGAAAGCCCAAGGAAACTAATTCAGACAGAATTACCATTAGAAAAGACAAACCACTCAAAACCAAAGGAGCTGTACTGCCTATGAAAACTTAAAACATAAGAATACTAAAATAAAAATGGAAAAAATAAGTGGAAATTAATTACAGTGTAAGAGATTACTGACGTGGGATTGGAAGTGGGTACTGGAGGAACAAAGCTCGGCATCTCGGTCACGACTTTATTACCGTCATTTGCACCAGTTTTAACTGTTCTACTGCCCATGGATCAACATCATCATCATCACCACCACCACCACAAACCACCAGAACCACCTGATCCCAAAGCCAAAGAGACCCTTGAACAACCCCCTTCAAAAAATTAACTAAAACACAACACTCTGAAGCTCCTAAACTACAAACTCCTATCTACCCAATTACCAGAAAGATTAAAACTTTACAAAGACATATACACAAATAGAACCCAAACCCCAATCAAAAGCCACGTCCTGACGGGAAAATTGAACCTTCAGAAACCCCACAAGCAGAAATACAACATAGCCCAGTTAACCCAAAGCTTACCAATAGTAGAAACTGTATGAACAAGCCGCCAAGTTTGAAGTAAAACCAAGGCCAACTCCACCAAAGTAGATGAAGAATCAGAACTCAAGACACTGAATTTCCACAAATTAAGCAATACCCAGAAGCTAAAATTGAAGGAATAGCCCAACAAAACCCTAACCCGAGAAGCTTTAACAGGATAAATACCAAGTCCCTTTGACCTTTTGATCGTAATATAGTATTATATACCATCACTTCTCTCTCTAAGGCTGGAAAATTCAACAGGCCCACCTTGAATTTTGAGCAAATATTTTAACTTTATTAATTTTCTTGAAGAGGTTGGAGAGAGAGAGTAGAAGAAGCGTGACGTCCAGATCATCCCAATCTCTTCCATACGTCCTTTTCTTCTCTGCAACTTTTTCCATCTTTCAAAGCTCGCCATTTTTTTTTAATTTCTTTCATTTCTTTTTTGTCTTATTTTACCGCTTTGAAGCATTAGCTTTTCCTCAATTTTATGTAAATACTAGAACTTCCGCGAAAGTTTGACAAAATGTCACACTGCCCCATCTCCTTTCAGCTTATTCTTTTCTTAACCAATTCACTTCATTTAAATTGGTAACCAGATTTCAAACTATCTTTACATAAGCGATTTTGGGGGAGGGGTCGATTACAGGACCTCGAGTGAAGAAATGATTGCTCTTAACCACTTGAACTATAAGCTCATTTCAATTGAGTTTCAAACATTTAATCATACCACATTTTAGTTCAGAAGTCTCAACGCAAATGCATCATAAAATTAATGAAATGAGAGCAAAAATTATATTTAATGATTAAGTTAGATTTTATCTTAATGTGCATATTTTACAAAATACTACATGCAATATAGGAAATTAAATTTTTTAGTAAGAGAATACGATTTTCTCTTTCACCAAAAAAAATACGATTTTCTCTTCAATATATTTTTATTTATACTTACAATTGATAACTTTCCTACATGAAAACTTTTCAAGACCAGTGACCAAAAAAAAAGGGAATTTAATGTTTTTTTTAAAAAGAAAAAAGTTATGCAGGTGGAATTCTGCTTTGTAAAATACGTTGTCCTTGTAGTTGTACATTGTAGCTGTAGGGATAGGGCTGTAAATGTGAATGCATGACCACTCACAACAAGCAAGTCAATTATTGCTTCTAATTGTTCTACAAGATTAGGTAAGCTCGGGAGCTACTAAAATTTAGGGAACTTGAGTGGTTGCTTTCAAAATTTGAAACTTTACATTCTAATTTCTCTTCAACTCCCTAATGTGTGAAGTAAAAGCTTTTAGTGCTTCGGTAAGAACGCTTTCTTTTGAGTTACAACGATATTCCATTCTAAGGGCTCGAGAGGAGTTTCAAACCCAGAACAACTGGGTGATAAGGGGGAGGGCAAACCACTAGGCCACTCCAAGTCCTTAATAGCAACCCTTTCTATATTACAAGATTTCTACTGCTCCAAAATCTGTTGTAGTAGCAAGTAATGGTAGTTTCCTAGTTTTAGTGAAGTTTAAGGGGCGTATGTCTATTTGTTGGAAAAATGTGAATAAAATGTATGTATGTTGTCGTCCAACGAATAGCAGCCTTCAATTCTCGAGTTGCCCATTTAGAAGATCTCATAAGTTTTGCCTCACTGTCTGCAATGACTTGTCTACCCTTTCAAAGCAAAAGTCCAAATTGGTATCTTCGAGTCAAAAAATGCTTGTTTACTACCACCACCTATGATATAGTTGACGCTTTTGCAAATCATATTTTGTGTTGTTCTCTTCTTTATCCCAAAAAAAAAAATTTACTTTTGTAGGAAAATTATGTTGTATAAATAAAAAGATAAACAAAATTTATTTTGTTATTGTTTGTGCAAATAATATATGGGGAGAATATTCGCTTTTAGATTCTTCGCCCTTTGAACTTCTTTCTCACTCTTTAAAAAAGACCAGAGTAAATAAACCACACCCAGCTGGTATTGGCCAACGGCCTTCCGATGCCTAAGTTAATTCGATTGAATCTATGTGAAATAATAGCTAAAAAGGGTGCGGAGATTTCTCTAGGGTGAGAACCGGGTGGCCGGAGCCATGTGGAGAGACAAAAATGGATGCAGCTAGGGATGCCGTCGGCTAGGAGAGAGGGAGAGAGGAGCTTCGACTGTTTTTGCAGCATTTCTGAGCTAGGTTTAGAGTTACCTTTAGTGTTTATAGGAGCCTCGGAGGCTAGGGTTTTGCAAAGAATAAACTCTTATTAGGAAGGAGTTTATTCTTTCCCCAAATTGTAGAGATTGAGTCCATTAGGGATTTGATTGAGATCAAATCTCCTAATTTGATGATGATAATATCTCTTAATTAGGATAATATCTAAATTGGTGGTATTATCTTATTAAATAAAGATAGTATCCCATATTTAAGATATTATCCCTATTTTTAGTATTAACTAATTGACCGAATAAATGAGCTCAATTAATTAACATAAAAGATATTCTTCTTGTCCACGTGGCATCTTGTAATTTGCTCCCGCAGTTATTTATGTATAGGAGTAGGCATATGAGTTGGAAAAATTCAAGTACCGACCATATCAAACCACAAATCTGATTTGGTTTGAAAATATTTATTTATTTTTATACTTTGTGACAATCTGATCTGAATCAAAAGTTCCTATAAAAACATTCGGGTTCAATAATGCCTAGTCCATTGGTAAATCGAAACATGACAAAATTAATTTTTTTTACTGGGCTTGTCACCTTTTTATTGGAATTTGGAATATTTTAGGTTGTTATAAGGTAGATTTTGATTAACTTATAAAATCCTCCAGTTTTATACTTGAATTAGAACTCTCATTTTGTTGGCACTAAAACTGAACAGATAGAGATGAGTGCAACTTACAAGTGGTGAGGACGATCTAGCAGATCGATTGAATGATAGATGCAGATTCTTCTTGTCCTTGGATGCAGATCCTGAATAGAAGAGAGTTGAGACTCGTAAGGTCTATGGAACTGGTGTGGAACCAGCCTAAGACCCTCTGATGCCAAAGTAAGTTTGTTTCTAAGAGCTCTTGCTGTTGACCATATAAAAGTATAAAAGTCAAACTGAAAAGTCTTACCCCTGTATTGTAGTGGAGGGGCCTATTTATAGAGGGCATTTCGTATGCTCTTAGTACTTAATTTCGATGTGGGACTCGTGGGAGGGCCCTATGAGGTTGACCCGAGTCCTTAGATATTTCGGGCGGGTGCTTCGAGGTTGATTCTGCAGAATCGGTAAGGGATACCGATTGTAGGCTGTGTTGGGCCTGTAGCGATATTTTGCTGCTTTGAGACAATATCAGCGGTAGCCGATGCCGATTGTTCGGAGCCTTTGGGCATTTGGGGAGTTTAAGCGATCCACGTGTCAATGGATGAGTGGATGATCAGATATGGTACAAACACATTTCAAGCATTAGGGATGAACTGTGTCTATGACAAACCACGTGAATACGGGTTCCGCCTAAGTCCATGCTACACATGAAAGCCTCGTAGAGTTGCCTTGTCTTAAGAAAAGGCCCATGGACAAGCAAGTCCAGTATGTGGAGTATAATGAGGTGGATTTTGGTGAGAGGTTGATAGTGCAAATTTCTCATGGGAGAATATTCGCAAGAGATTCTTCACCCTTCTAGCTTCCTTCTCTCTCTTCCTCCTTCATCCCAGCAAAATAGACAGAGGTAAATAGACCACATCCGGGGGGTGTTGGCCAAAGGCCCTCCGATGCCTAAGTTAGTTAGATGATCTTCCTCCTTCATCTGCTTGGAATTTTGGCCAATGCTGCCCACCTCAATGTTCATGAAAGGGATAGTGATATGAGGGGGAATGATCGCCTCTGTTTCATATGCCAAGGAAAATTGGGTTTCGCCAGCTGATCTCCTTTTGGTAGTACGATAAGCCCATAGAACTCCAGAGAGCGTATCTACCCATTTCCCTTCAACGCCTTATAGTCTTTTCTTTAGGCAGTCCATCAAAATTTTGTTAGATGCCTATGTTTGGCCATTGCCTTGCAGATATCATGAAGTAAATAAGTGTTGCTTGATGCCATACTTCGCAAAGAATCTTGTGAACTACGACCCATTGTCGGTGACCAGCGACTGTGGGCAGCCAAACCGACAGATGATGTTCTTCCAAATAAATCGCTCCACGTCAACTTCTTTAGTAGACGATAGTGCTTCGGCCTCGATCCATTTAATAAAGTAGTCGGTAGTGATGATCATCATGTCCTTCTTAGTAGGTGTTGCCGACATAAGACCCACTAAGTCAATGGCTCATTGCATGAATGTCCATGGACTGTTCCGTGAATGGTAAACTTCGGCTGGTAGACTAGGAACTAGCTTGTATAGTTGGCATCAATCACATCTTTTGACATACTCCATGGAATTATGGCACATAGTAGGCTAGAAGTAGCCTACACTTAGAGATTTCTGGGCGAGTGACCTGCCTCTAGAGTGGTTGTTGCACTCTCCGTCTTGAATTTGGTAGAGCACCTCAAGTGTTTGAGGATATTTTATACATGTGAGATGAGGATCGGAATATGATATGTGAATGAGCTTGTTGCCTTGCATGTTGTCACGGCTTTCTGTTGGACCTTTCAAGCTTCGGACTTGTCTTTTGGAAAATTTTCATTCACCAAGTAGTCGATGATGGGGTCTAGTGTAACATCCCAACCCAAATGAATTATTGTTTAATTAATTTGTGGAATTTACAATTTTGCCTTGGGAGGTAGGGTCATTTTGGTCACTTTTTAATTTTGAAGGTTTTTGGAGAAACGAGTGGCATGGTTGCGTAGAGCTCGTCGATATGAGTTCATAAACACGTAGTTGGCTCCAATCAGAGTTTTAACGAAGAAATTATGATGTACGGAAGTGTAGTGGCACAACTGTAAATATCGCGAAGTTCAAATTTAAGTACAGGTCATATTTCGTTTCTCTCTCTCTCTCTCTCCTCTACGCACAGCCAGATTTTCAACCGGCAATATCATTGCCGTTCGGCCACCAAATTGGACGGCACAAGTTGCAAAATCTTCGTCTCTTCCTCCTTTACACGTCTATACCCATTTCCACCTTCGAAACTTCAAGCCGAAAACTCTTGTTCGTCGTCAGAACTGTTCGTGCGATTTCCAGCGATTCCAACGGCCAAAATTGTTGAACCAGGTATGAAACTTCATCTACTCTTTGTGCTATGCCTGTTTATGTGCTTGGTTTGGGTTAATTGTGAGGTTTTATAGATCGATTCTTAAATTCATTTTTTATCGACGATTTCGACTTCGATTCGACTAGTCCCGGTTAGTTTTTGGCCTTGGTCCAAGAACAAAAGTTGATCCCCAAGTTCGCCTGAACGTATTGGTATTAGTCTTGACCGGTGGTTTGGAGATTTTCCAATCGCCGGAATTTACTCAAATCACCCACACGTTGCCGGCGCATTGTTGTGTAGATACAGCTGCACCAAAATGGATTAAGCTGCATCCTCAACTTGTGATACTCGCAAGTGCACGAACCGTTGGTAGTTTAGCGTATGTAAGTGCGAGGTCGATTCCACAGGGATTGGTGATTGAATGATCCAATTTAGTTTCCCTACACAAAACAGAAATGAAAAAACTGTCTCAGATTTACGCATATTAGGCGATATCCGGGTTCGATATGTTCGGACCTTTGGATCGGCCTCATTTCCAAGTATGTTATTCTCTGTATCTCTAGGATCATGTAGAAACTTACGGATCGAGAATCAGAGTCCCGGATTCTCTAAATCAATGATTCTAAGGTTACGGAAAACGGTGACCGTCCGATCATGCAATCGGGAACGATCCGACTGCTCGATCGAGACCAAACTTGCAGGACGTGTTAAGTAGACCTTGTCGAACCTGTAGGAACCTTTAGAATGTAAATCGGAGGTCGTGGGCCCGTGGGCCCAGTTGACCAATATGACTAGTTTGACCGGATAGTTGACCAAGGGTCTTTTAAGACCGTCTCATCCCTTGTTAAGTACTAAAATGGCCTTAGGGATTTTCTTAAAGGACATGCACCCACTGTGAGTCGAGAGAGCTAGGGTTTCGATTTAAAGTTTAGTGTTGAGTTTGATTATTAAATGCCCACGTTCTCTCTCCTTCAATGGCAGCATAGGCTACGTAGACTCACACTGGCGAGGCATTATGCATGAAATGTTTCACACACATCCCGAAAAAACAGTTATTGAAAAAAAGAATAAATAAATAAACACAGAGCTAGTCAAACAAGTTATATAAAGTCCAGAGCCTTTCTCTAAAAGACTAGAGCTTTCTTTTACTTTATGCATTTCTTCTGACAAAAACAAAATTCTTTCTGCATTTCTTCGTCTAACAAAACAAGACTCATTCTCTCTTTTTCAGGATGAAGTTCAGAATCTCAAACCAACCCTAGACTATGGTAGAAGATCAAGATTTGATAGAGGTTGTAGAGAGGTACGGGTACGGCACCCACATATGGGAAGCTGTAGCCAGATTTCTTGGAACAAGAACACGCAGAGAATGTCAATCTCTGTGGGCTGAGTGGCTCGACCCCCAAATAAGAAGAGACGAATGGAGCGAAATGAAGGATACAAAGCTTCGAGAGCTGTCTAGAATAATGCCAGCTCAGTGGCAGACTATTTCAGAGATTTTCAACAGCAGCCGTACTGCAATGGCTTGCCAACTGAGGCACGCATTCATCCTTGAAAACCCACAGGTATGTATTCCTTCAATTTGATATTCGGTTGAAGAATTGTGTTTAGGGTTATGGGCCTTAGAGAATTTTGGGGTTTTTTCTTTTTTCAGAAAATTTTTGGCCAAGAAGGACCATCAAGCTTCACTAAAAAAGCTGGCCCATCACAGGTAAGCATTTCTTGGGCTTTTCAATTTGATTTCTGGTTCTCAAATTGTTATTAGAAGTTATGTTCTTTGTCTTTTGAGAATTGGTTGGGATTTTAAGGTTATGGGTTTTTTGTTCTAAAAATAACTCTCCATGAAAGCCCAAGGCAGAAAAGCTAAATGGCCCAAAGAGGAACCCACTAGAAGCATACACCGCCCAAAGTTGTCCTCAACGGCAAAATTGACAAATATTTACGCATAAGACAAAAGGTCATCAAAATACGGTCAAATAGGTGTTTTCCCTTCTTTAGTCGTAGTGAAACGAACACGAAGTGAACCTCATTTTCCCTTCTCAGAAATCCAACAACTCAACAAAACCTACCAAGGTATGCTCTGGGATTTGGTTATTCTATTTTGAGAAAATTAGGTTTAGGGTTATGGAGTTAAGTTGATTTCAGGTTCTGGGTTTGTTAATTTGATGTTTGATTCGTTGAGACTTCTTGTATTTAGATTTAGGGTTTTGGAATTATTGATTTGATTTTTTGGGTTTTTGTGTATAGAGAACCAACAATCAGCCGAAATCAGGGGAGAAGAAGCTTTTCTTGAAGCGTTCAACTCCAAGGATCAAAATTGATTTGGGTTTTGATGAATAAACATGTATGGAAAGTTTTCAAAACTCTTGATATACTCTCTCAAATAGTTAGTAGTTATACACATTTTTCAATTGTGCCATCTCAAATAGGTTCTTTGGCACTACGAATCGCTCCGAACAAAACCGCAGAGGGTTGTGTGTGCTTTGGACCGTGTGTGAGTGGACATTTGTTTTCTAAATAGTTTTATGAAACTCTTGGATTGTGATTATTAATTGTTTTGTTTTATGGAATTGATAATTTATGATTTCCAGTTTTCTAAATAATATTTTATGCATATTTGAATTTAGTTTGAGAACGGTTCTGAAGGATTTTTCATGGTCGAGTTAAGTTAATGAATTGTTTATGGTATTTACTTTCTAAGAGTTCGGTTTTGGTTGGAATGATTTTTATTTAATTTATTCGTGGTTTAGTACTAGAGGTTGATATTAAAATGCTTTTATATGATTTAATTTTACAATATGTTTCGGGAGGATTTATAAGTGGTAATTATGCGAGTTTGTCAATTAATTATTTAGTAAGGATTTTATTTGTGGGCTTTTATTCGGTTTTACTTCGAGAATGTTTTGATAAGTTTTTATTGGTTGGAAATCAAGATAGCAAAATTTGGGTTTATTTAACGCTTTAAAAACGGGGTTTCGTCTATATTTAAGTGTCGAGAAGTGGATTTCAAACCCACCCTAGGTACCCAGATCCCGTTGCCTTCAAAAGTTATTGGTTGCCTTCGGAAAAGTATAATTGTTGTATGTGGAAAAGAATATAACGGTTGCCTTCTAAAAAGTGAATCGTATGCCTTCGGTAGTGTCTGTGCACATGACTAGGATTGCATGTGCCTACATAGAAACTACTCTGTAGGTATCCGGCCAGAGTATATGACTTTTACCTGTGTTGACTACACATGTGCTCGCCCAGTGGTTTTCCTGTACCTGCAGTAAGGTTATTTTGTAGGTGTTCGGCCAGTGTATTGCCTGTACCTGCTTATGTGGGTGTATGGCTAGGATTTTTCCCCGCCACCTGCCCGGCCAAGATTTTCCCCTGCCACCTGCCCGATTGTCTACACAGGTGTTTGACTAGTTTCCCCATTTCCCAGTTGCCTCAGTGTATTGCATGTACTCGTATCACAAATGCGAGTGTCCGACCAATGATTTTTCCCAAGGATTTTCCCCTGCCACCCTCCCGATGTACTACATAGAGTTGGCCAGTTTTTCCCCATAAGTATACTTGGGTGGAGAATTTTTGTATGAATTGGATTGAGATTGGATTTCGGATGAATTGTAGTTTTGAGCTTGCTTGATTTATTGAATTCAAAGAATGGTTTGAAACTTGAGTTTTGTTGAATTATATTCTTGAGTTACTCGATATTTTGGATTTAAATTGACAGGACCCACCTCGAAATTCTCGAAATTCGGGACGAATCCTATAGTATTTCTGACATCATACTAATGCCGGGCCCGCTTACTAAAAAGGGACAATACCTTCTGCCAAAATTTCGGCAGAGCCTCCCCTGAAAAATAGACTTTTCCAAAAAAATTCAACTTGATAAAAACACATTTATACAATCCTAACAGCAACATGTACAAGATAATGTCATGCAATGAACATATTAGGCCTCCGGCCTTACAATCAGCCTTAACATGGGCGACATCAGAGCAGTCTAAGAGTTTAAGTTTACAAACGAAAATAAAGTTCAACAGAAGATAAACGAACATAAGTTTATCCTACATAAGCTCGGGCTTGGAGTTCACGACTTGATACGGCCGTTCGATTTCAAGACGATCTATTGCCTGTGGGGCGCAAAACGGAAAACTTGTGAGTGGACAAAAACAAAGTTTGTTATCTTTCAACATATAATAACCCCACCATTTAGAAAACGATGCTAAAAACAACATTCATTCAAATTCGACGTATCGCTTTGTATATATATATATATAGTTAAGTCAAACCAGTGTGAAATCCATAATTCGTAACAGTATACTATCACCCATCCCATTCCAAAACCTTTCCCAACTACTCTCTCGAAAAGCATGCCCATTGGCACGGCAAGCGAGGAAGTATCTTCACCGACAAATAAGAATGAAAAGATAAGTACATATATATTTATTTATTTATTTATTTAAGTACGACCACTACCAAACTTGTATCGGGGAAACAATCCAACCGAGGAATTGTTTGAGTAGTCCACATAGAAGAATCCTCAATTGACCATGTGTGTAACAACCCAATTCTTAATTATTATTTAACTAATATTTTAACAAGGAAAAAGACTAAACTACCCTTAGAATATTTTATTAGGTTTTAAATTGACTTGTTCACTGGGGAAGAATTTGGGAAAACTACTTATACCGTTGTGTAGAGCACGACGAAACGAGTCCGTAGACACGTAGTGGACTCGAATCGGACTGGTAATGAAGAAATTACGAGCAAGATACTGAAAAAGGACAAAAAAGTAATTTTCGAAAAATCAAATTTTTTTAAAAATCAGATTACCTCTCTCTCTCCTCATTCTCTTCTTCCTCGCGCAAAACCCCCTACCCGTTACTGTTCATTCAAACCAGCCCAGCCACCACCCACCTCCACCAAACCGCACCGGACCAGCCAAGACCTGACCGGCGTCGCACCCACAGCCGCTCCGACCTTCCTCCTGCCTCCGCCGACGCCACAGCCACCGGAAACAGCCCGGAATTGGCTGGTTTTTCTCCGAATTTCAAGCCTCTCGTTCTCCCTCCTCCGGCCACCAAATCGGAAGAATTAGGTATGGTTTTTCGACTGATTTTCGTGCTCTAGCTGCTGGTTGGGTAGGTTTTCAGAGATTTTAAAGTTTGACAGGACGATTTACGAGTTAAGTTTCTGCCGGTTTGCGTCGTCGATTTTAGTAACTTCCAGCCACTTTTTGGCCATAGTCCAAGAACAAAAGTAGTTCCAAATTAGGTGTTTTACCTGGACTAGGAGTTTGGGCCGGCGGTTTGGAGATTTTCCGGCCGCCGGAAATTGTTATGCACACCCACGCGCTGCCGGCGCGTGGACGGCACGCGAGCCAGGTATTGGGGACCACTCTTGGTCCTAGGATGATCCTCGTATCCTCACGAGCGCGTAGCAAATCGCGGATCTTAATTCGGATAACGTTTGAACCCCGAACGGCTAGGACATGTCGCTCCGGTGGCACGAGGATGGAATTGACGGAAACTAATGGAATTGACGGATTAATAAATGGGTACACCTAGGTGGTAGATTAAAGTGATTTCTATGCTTTTAAGAATTTAATGTTTGTTTAAGTATGTGATTAAATCTATAGATATAAATATGTACGCTTTGATTTCAGTACAAGTATGATAAGAAATGGTTTAGTTTTATAACTGAGTTTTTTTACAGTGGGGGTTAGTATGTTTCTCTACTATGTTTCTAAAGCTTTGTTTTTGGTCCACTCACCCTTTCCGTGTTTTGCGCCCCCAGGCAGTAGGCGTGCATAGTGAGCCACCATTGGGCCGAGTCCAGCTTCTGCCACACTCCTTGACGACGTAGGGACTTGTATAATTATTTTATACTTGTAGTTTTCTGTATAGAGCTCTGATATTGCCCTTGAAGTATACTTAACTGTTGGAATGTATTTATTTTGCATGCTGGCAGTTGGTGTACAGTTTTCCTTGCTTTTCTGACAGGTGTAACTTTGGGTTTGGTCTAATGACAGGGGAGACTCTGCTGAAATTTCGGCAGAAGTCAAACTCCATTTTTAGTAGCACTTTTGAGTAAAAGGGCAATAAGGTCAATTTTGTCCAGCACCTGCCAGGTGTCGGACACGCACAGGGTTCGGCTCGGATTCCAAAGTGGAATTTGGGTCGGGTACTGTCAATGTGGCTAGGAAAAAACTCGTCCAACTGGGGACTGAGCTCACTAGTACGTACAACAAAATCTTCAATACTCGTACGCCTGTGACAAGTCTGAGTTCAGTTTTCCTTTTACCATTTTCCCTGTGCCACCCTGTTTCTTCCTTATTTTTGTGACACATGTCCTCTCTCACTTACCATTAACCTAACTCTGTTAAATATAATAATTATTCAAAAGAGATTTCATCATCTTCTCTACAACCCAGCGGCAACCTCCTTTGCACCCACAACCCCAAGCCTCCCTTTATCTCTCTAAAAATTGCCAAACCAGATCAAGATTGTTGAATTAAGCCACCTAATCTCCACTTCGAGTGCATTATCAACCGTGACCCTTGCTTTCCCTTCCTCATCAAATCAGAATTTTCTCTCGAAACGACCACTTGCTCTCCGCCTCAATGATGCCGGAAAATCTTGAAAGGTCTCCATTTTAGGTCTTTCAGTTCTTCAAATTTTCAGCCTTGGAGTCTTTGGATGTTTGCTAGATCCGTTTCCTCCCAAAAACCAGGGGAGGGGGGTTGGGTGGAGAACGTGGGATGGTTGTGGTGGTCGGCTGTTGGAGTTGGGTGGGTTGGGTGATTTGTTGTCGGCTGCTGGGTTGCTGGGTTTTTGCTTTTTTAGTTTCAATGTTTTTTAATTCAATGATAACTTAACAAAATTAGGTTAATGGTAAGTGAGAGAGGACAGGTGTCAAAAAAATAAGGAAGAAACAGGGTGGCACAAGGAAAATGGTAACAGGAAAACTGAACTCGACAAGTCCCGTGCGAAGACTAACCCCACTAAGGGTCTACGAAACACCCCGTCAAGGGTGCCCGGGTTCCAACATATCCAAGTATCACAAAATTCAAAGTATCCAATTCCAGTATTCCAAATCGGGGGAGGTACTTAGGGTAGTGCTTATAGCACTTCAAACTGACATAAACTATAATCCACTATCATTCCATAATCTCATTACCAACAAACCTCTATACCCCACACATAAGCATAGATAGAAATTCTCGAAAATAGTAAATATCAACACAAGACAATCATAATATGCTAATACACAAATGTATTTCAAATAATTTATAGAAATATCATGTTTCCACAATTAATTATATAATAAACTCAATAAACAAATAAATCATTATGCATAGCTTTCCGTCATAAAAATAATGTTTATTATTTGAAAACAAAGTCCACTCACAAGTAGTCCCACGCTGCTTGACCCTGAGAGGGTCCCGCCTGATATGTACACTGGGTTGGAGTACCTATTTAAAAATACGAGGGCGAAGTTAACATAAAATACTTCGAACAAGAACTTTAAAATAAAATCCTATTTAAAAATACGTTGCTTGACCCTAAGTGTGTGTATGACGAATGAGATGTTCCCAAGGTCCAGCTACGTCTTCTGGATGATGAAATAGCCTCGGAAGACGCTCGGTCAACCGAGTGGTCAAACTTCCCAAATTTGGTCAACCAGGCCCATGAGGCCCACGACCTCTGATCTCTGATATGAAAGTTCCAATGGGTTCAACAAAGTTTATTATATATGTCTTGCAAGTTTGGTCTGAATCGAATGGTCGGATCGCTCGCGATCGCACGATCGGACGGTTACCATTTAACCTAGTCTTTGAATCATTGAATCGAAGCATCCGGGACTCTGATTCACAATCCACGAATTCTTACATGATCCTAAAGATGCCAAGATCAACATATTTGAAATTAGAGTTGACCCAATGGTCCAAACATATTGAACCCGGATAACGCCAAATATGCATAATCCGATCGACAGTCAAACGGTAACTAAATTCAAATCCAAGCATATCGTCGTGCTCGGGACGACATAGGGATCATTTTAGAACCAAATAGGTCACCCAAACAGGGCCCACGCTCCTCCACACGCGCCGACAGCGACAGCGCGTGGGTGTCTTGAGAAATTCCAACGACCGGAAAATTCTCAAAACACCCATCAATACCTATATCTATGTGATCAGGATAACGAATGAAGCAACTTTTGTTCTTAAACCATGGGCAAAAAGTGACCGGAACTTGCAGGAAAGACCAGCAGAAAACCGGCCAAACTTTGAGTTACAAATCGAGTTTTAAAACTCAAAAATCGATCCTAATCAACCCAACCATCAGCTACAACACGTTGAGAGGATGAGAAAGCATACCTAGATCGATGAAATTGGTGGCCGAAATCGCCGAAACGAGCGATGAGAATTTTACGTTAAAACCGACCTTTTTTGGTATATTCTAGCGGCGGCTGATCGTGGTGGGGGATGGGTGGGATGGATAGAGGAGGTGGAGGTGTTTGTTTTGTTACCAGCCTTGTGGCTAGTGGTGGTCGGAAGCAATAGCAGTGGCCCAAAAGGTGGCCGACTGTACAGTTTGGGAAGGTCTGTTACACGCGAGAGAGAAGATAGATCGTGATGGAGAGAGAGAGAGAGAGAGAAATCAGATTTTAAAAACCATCTTCGTGGATCAGGAGGAGAGAATTGTGTGGAGCCCAATTGCAAGCAAGCTAGGCTTTCGTTGGAGGTGTGCCAAGAAGCCGAAAAAGTCGTGCGTGGTGGCAAAGGAGGGAACGGATGTATCCACTGCCAAATTGGGCCATAATCGGAAGTGGTTCCAAGGCGGCCGTGGGTGATGGTGCTAGAGTGAACTATGGCGTCGTTGCGGTGGTGAACATCGGATTCGGCCACGAGACCGTAAGGATTGTGGCTACTAGAGCCAACATAAGGTCATACGGCTATAAGGCTATGGCAGCCACGGATCCATGAGCTTGAACCGTGATCTCGCCCAAGGGGCCTTGCGACGGTGCAAGGGGCCTTGCGACGGTGCAAGGCTCACGGTGACAACGCTTTGTGGTGGAGCAGTGCCTATGGCCACGGGGCCAGGCGGTGGAGAGACGGCCCAGGCAGGCACGACACTCTAGGCCATGGTGCCGTAAGGTGGAGCAACAGTATAAGTCGGTGCCATGACTGTAGTCATGGTTTTAGCAGTGGAACCCGGGGGCTGGTTCATAGCCATACCATCGTGTGTGAGAGAGAGAGTCACGGATTGTGTCGTCCCGACGGTCTTACTTCTCGTGCACTTGCTTCCAACCATGTTGTTTCGAAGGCTTTAGTTGAGTGATGAATAGGAGGAAACAAGTTCCTTTGATTTGAGAGCAACACGTTGAGTATAATTTGATGCCCTCAATGAAAGCACCATATGTTTGTGCAAATTTTTCACGGAAGAATACTTGCATGAGAATCTTCACCCTTCTAGCTTCCTTCTCTGTGTTCCTTCTCGATCCCTACGAAATAGACTGGATTAAATAGACCACACCTAGGGAGTTAGCTAAAGGCCCTCCGATGCCTAAGTACTAGCCAGAGCCGTGTGTGTGGCCAGAGTTATGTGTGTGTGTGTGTGTGTGTGTGTGTGAGAGAGAGAGAGAGATAGAGAGAGAGAAATTTTGTAGGGTTTTTCGAATTACCTCATGTATTTATAGTGCTCTTGCCTTCTAGGGTTTTTCATAGAATAATTCTCATATATAAAGGAATTATTCTCTCTGGGGGTGGACACGGTTCGGTTTGGATCGATTTTTGTCTCAAATTGGAACTGAATTTGATACTATTTACCTAGTTCGATTTGGTCCAATTTTAATAAAAAAATTATAAAATTGTCTGGTTTGGGTTGAACTGATTTCGGTTTGGTTTTGAATCGGATTATTATTATTATTATTTCAAATTATTTTTTTATACATATTTCAACAGAAATTTTATTTTTTTGGATTGAAAAATTAACAAATTATTCAATTTCATACAAAAAGAAATATTAAGGGTAGAAAAGAGAGATGTTTTGAAATTGAACTTGGGTAAATATTAGTTATGAGATTAAAAATATAGTATTGGATATAAATAAATATTAAAATTATATATTTTTTAAATTTGGCCGTTTGGTTTGTTGGGGTATAGAACCAAAACGGGATCCGGTCCGAATTGATTCGGTTTGGTTTTTTGAATTGGGTTTGACTTTTTGGTCAACATGATTTTTTTTCGTTTTTTGGTCCAGTTTGGTTCGGTTCTTCGGTTCTTCGGTTCCGATGCCCACCCCTAATTATCTCCCTTAAATGGAGCAATTGAATCAATTAGAGATTTAATGAAAATCAAATTAGTTTATCTCTTGTTGGATGGTGGGATGGACCCCCACATTGAACCCCCTCATTATAGCATTTCCGGTCCAGTACAGGCCCAGACACTTGTTTGATCCAAGCCTAGATCGAATAAGGCTTAAGGGATAAGTCCAACATGACTCATCCTTTGGCAACACGTCGCTTAGAGATTAACTCAAATCTCGGGGATATCCTCGTTAACTGCAACAACAATAATTAAGGGGATTACATTCACCCACTATGGGTAAAAATCTCACACGTTCCAAGTCAAAACACCTAATTGACTTGACGTACGTGCACATCAAAGTCAAATACATAGCTTCTGACGACAATAAATCAGTTTCAAAGGATCCTGTATAAATCCCTTACCATATTTGGAAAGAGATAACTGCTCTTAAGTCTAATTAACCCTACTTTAATTCGCACAACGATATTAACTTAGGTTTCAGAGGCCCTTTAGCTCATACCACAATGGTGTACTTAAGGGCTCACAACCTTCTCCCTTTTCTTTCTCAAGGTCGATGAATTCATTCCCCGCAAAAAGTACTTTATCAACTAGCTTCTAATAGTACATATTTTCTACTATATCCAAGTTCGAATGCTCTTCTCACTTTCATTAAAAAAGAAAAAAACACGTCTTTTTATTTGGACGAATAAAAAATAAAAAAACACATCTTTTGCATTATGCTCATGTGTCATTTTACATACAATAATTGTAAATTAAATTGACTGAACTTAGAAAATAATAATAATAATAATAAACTGGTCAAGTCACTAAACTGTCCAGCTTCTTCCCTCGCTGTTTGTAGAGCAAAACCCTAATAAAAGCCATTCGACAGAAGTGATGGTCGCCAATTTTTGTTTGGGATTATTGATGAATGAATATAATTCCAGCTACAGCTACAGGAGCATCAATTTTGTAAGAGGTTGGCGGTGGGCTCGTTATGCTGCTCTCTGGTAAGTTTCAATTCCCACAACTTGGCTTTCATTTATTTCTATGGTCATGATTGATTTGTACTGTAAAACCCTAGAATTTCACTCTTAGATTGTAGAAATGTGTGAGTCTCAGTTACCCATTTGTGTTTTTGTTTGTTTTTCCTTCATAGTGCACCGCATTTTCGAAGACCATTTTCATCAAAAACGTTGTTAGAATCTGGAAAAGATAAAGCAGAAGAACAAGAACGTTCTTTTACAGTGTCTTATCTCGTTAGTTCATGTGGGTTCTCTTCAGAAAATGCTCTGTCATTGTCTAAGAAAGTAAACTTTGAAAACCCAGAAAGACCAGATTCTGTCCTTGATCTTCTCAGAGAATATGGATTTGCTGATTCCCAAATCTCCAAACTTGTTCATAAAGTCCCAAAGCTGCTTTTGTCTGATTCTAAGAAGAGACTCTTGCCCAAACTTGAATTTTTGCGTTCTATAGGCCTTTCTGGTGAAAGCCTCGCTCACACCATCTGTACAAACCCTGTTTTCTTGACAGCAAGCTTGGAGAACACTCTCATCCCTGGTTATAATTTCTTCAAAAGAGAACTCCTCAGTGATGAAAAAATTGTAAACGTTATAAAACGCTCATTATGGGGTATTTTAGGTAATAGGGCGCAAAGCATTGTTGCTCAAAATCTCAGAGTCTTGAGATCACTTGAAGTGCCACAATCCTCTATCTCTGTACTGGTGAGCTGTCACCCTGGCGTGGTATGCCAAAAACCGGAGGTCTTCAACAAAGATGTGGAGGAGGTTATCCGTTTGGGATTCAACCCTATGACATTAGCATTTGTCAATGGACTCCAAGTGATTTCGAAAATGACTAAATCGACATGGGAACACAAAATGGAGGTTTACAGGAGGTGGGGCTGGACTGAAGATGAGATCTTGTTGGCTTTTAGAAAGAAACCCACTTGTATGTATTTGTCAGAAAAGAATATTGTAAGTAAAATGGATTTTCTTGTAAACAAGATGGGGTGGCAGCCTGCAGATCTGGCCAGAGTTCCTGGGGTTCTAACTCTTAGTCTAGAGCAGAGAATCATTCCAAGGTGTTCTGTCATTAGAGTTCTGATGGCAAAGGGCTTGCTGAAGAAAAAGTTTACCCTATCTTCATTGTTGGTTAGCGTTGACAGTTCCTTTATTAGTAGGTTTGTGGTAAACTATCAAGAAACTGTGCCTCAACTGTTGGATATCTTTCAAGGGAAATTGAGTCTTCAAGAACTTGACTTTCAATTTGAGGAAAAATGAATGCCGAAAAACTTGTAGAATCAAACACTACTAGTTCATTGGCGCCTTCAGGAAATTGGCCTTTTGAGGAAAAATGAGGACCAAAAAATTGTAGCATCAAGCACAAATACATTTATGCACAATTCCCCTTGTTCGCTGCTAATTTAAGCACGTCGATGCTCAATTGTTTTTACTTTCAGAAACTCCACAGGTATGTTCCATTGTCTGCATTCAGTTTATAAATATGTATGCATGTGTGTATATGTGTGTGTTGCTTTGATCACATGAAACTCCACAGATTTGTTCCATTGTCTGCTTAATCCTCTTGCAGGATCAGATAACTTGGTTCCCGCTTTTTTTCCTTAACATCTGATTCTGCACATGTGATTTCTTTCCATTTTCTTTTTATTTTATCCATGATCTGGGTTTAGATTTTCTAGCATGATTTTTTCTTTGACTGAAAGAAAGGGTCCATTGCAGACAATTGTTTGACAGAAGGACAGATTGAAATTATTATTTTTGGTTACACCTGCAATATGGCTAAACACTACAGTAGATACATTTATGGCATTTTTGCTCTTTGCTTTATGTGGTTATAAATTTTCCTTGTGTCTACTGTGCATATTGGAGTGCTTAGGTGCCTTTTTTTTTTCCCCTTATTTAAATTACTGGTACAAATGGATGAATCAGTGTGGGGTTTGAATGAGAAGAAACAAACTACCGATTACGGATTAGTAAACATGCCAGAAGTGTAGGGTTAATGTCACTTTCGCCAGCTGGTGTTTTCACCTAATTTCGCGTTACCTCTTGATGTTTAAAAAGTTTCGATGTGGTTGTTGAAGTTATAATTTAGTTACAATTTACCATCTCCAGCCGCGGTAATTCCAGTTATTGCAGTTTAAAAACTCATAATTAGACCTTGGGTTGGGTCCATCTCTTGTGGATTTCGTTGCCTTGGGCCTTGGCATTTAGGTCGCGCCTTTGTTAGAAACAAGCGAGGCTATGGAATGTGGAGCCCACTTGAGTTGCGGATGTGCACACCTAGTTATGACACGTGGAGGGGTTTTACTGCCAAAATGTGTTAATGTGTTTTTTTTTCTTTTGTCAAATGCCACGTGGAAAAGGCCCAAGTGGACAATAGGTTTCTAAACTTGGGCTTGTTTGGGCTTGTTCATTGGGCGCAACTAAAACAAAAACTTCGTACTCACAACCTAACCATGGTTGACGTTTCCTAATGAGTATGGGGCTTTGTTCAATCCTCTAACGAGGATGGTTTCAAGATTAGTAAAGAGAGGGTTGTAATGAAGGGTTATATTGGGGTTATAATGAGGGGGACCTGAATAGCCACCCGATCAATTGCAGAGTTATTATTAGACGGCAGGATTAGACAACACAAACCACTTATTATAGAAGCTCTCCAATGATGGAAATGTATGCATACCGAAACAAACCAACAAACGAAACTTACCTGGGTCTGCAAGAATGATGATACAAAACATCATGAGAGAGAAAAAGTAGGATGTAGGACTCTTAACCATGGCTTTGCAAACTTGAGAAAAATAAGTAATGACAACTAGAATATTTATAAGGTTCCCTTGTAATAATACTTCACTAATAAGCTTATTATTTTACCTCCACAAAGGGAAAATGTTTCGAAGTTTGTAAAGCTACCTCTAAAAGTAATAAATTAATAGAATTTAAATAGAATTTAGGGTTATGAATAATTCAGTATATTTCTATTCTTCTCATAAGGAGGTATTTATAGTGATGCAAATACAAGCTTTTCTAAGAAGTAATTACAATAAGGAAAAAGGAAATAAATACAATCCCGGTCAAACCGGTATTCCTATAATTACAAATCAATTATAATAAAGGTAATTATCTATAATTCCTATTGTGATTCAGTGATTCACGCCAACACTCCCCCTCAATATGGTGCATGTTGCGATGCCCAACTTGACAAGTGAAAATATAAAGGTTTGATTTGATATGGCCTTGGTCAACATATCCGTCAATTGTTCAGTAGTCTTAATATACAGAACTTCAATAATCTTCTCTTCCAATTTCTCATAAATAAAGTTCCGATCAATCTCTACATGTTTCGTTCTATCATGTTGAACTGGATTTTCAACAATCTTAATTGCTGACTAATTATCACAATACAACTTCATAGCATCCTCAGTAGGAAAACCCAACTCCCCCATAAGCCTTTTCAACCATAGCAGTTCACAAATACCTTTCACCATAGCCCGATACTTGGCTTCTCCACTCGACGAAGAGACAACCTTATGCTTTTTACTCCTCCAAGTAACCAAGTTACCTCCTTCAAACGTGAAATAACCAGATGTCAATCTCATCTTATCCCCCTTTCCTGCCCAGTTTGAGTCTGTAAGTATGCCTTGGTTCTGATGGTGAAAGTAGTCAATCTCCCCCTAAACTTTTTTTTTACCCCAAAAAAAAAAAAAACTAAAATTAATATTTTCTTTTCTTTTATGATTTATTGACACTTTTTAATTGATGTGACTGTCCACTTCATATGCCACATAAGGTGGTATACAAATGTGGTAAGAGTAGCAATACTGTTTTTAGTTACCAATAATGCTAGTCTTATAACATTTTTATACCACAATTTCATAGCACCTTATGTGGCAACTAAGGTGGCTATGCCACATAATTTAATGTAATGAGCTATATATCTTTTAATTGTGTATATATATAATTAAAGCACATAAATGGTGTAAACAATGACCATCTTTGTATCTTGCCCTTTTGCTTTCCAAATTAGGCTATTGAGATTTTTCTTTACTTTTTTTTTAATTTTTTTTTTTTAGTACAAGTTATAGTCTAAACTACAAGGAATGGGGGTTTTTAACACACACAACTAAGATGCAATGGAGGTTCGAACCCGAGATCTCTGGTCTGCAAGTCAAGACTCTTTTCCATTAAGTTAGACCTCGTTGGCCATTTTTATTTTAATATCTAAACAATCAAAGCATTGAAAATTCAAGACCTCTTCATTTAAAAAAATAAAATAAATAAATAAATAAAAGATCTCTTTAAAGCACATTCTGAACCCATCCACATCTATGATGTTCAGGCTAATCCGACGAACTTGGATGTAGCACCCATCCACATCTATGGTGTTCAGGCTAATCTGACGAACTTTGCTGTAGCACCCATCCACATCTATGATGTTTTGGCTTTTATTGTTTGTTGCTTCCTTTGTCTTTTTTATCCCAATAAGTCCACCCAATTTGGGAAAGCTGCAAAATAATTAAAATTGAAGCAGACACATTGAACAAAAACTGCTGCCGTGAGGAATCCAACTAGGGACGACGGGAATGGTGGGCAAGAGACACAGAATTTCAAATTAATAATTTTATTTGAAAAAATAAATAACTTCATTGTTTTCAGCATTTATGCTCTTATAACAAAAGATATTAAATGAGGTGGCATAGTCACCTCCACTGCTATATAAAGTGATATGAAATTGTGGTATAAATAGTCGTAATAAGTCAAAAAAAAATTACAACCTAATTTAGCTAAAGCAGTTGTAAACTATTACCCATACCTAAATAAAACACCAATTCTTTTACGAGAAGCAAACCCTTTCCCCCGAAAGAAATTCCTAGCCATATTACTAAATTTCTTTGTTACTTTCATGACAAGGAAAATAAGGAATTGCATAGATAATTAGGTATTCCAAAAATATTTGAATTGATTAAAAAAAATTTCCCGGCTCTAGAAAGTAAATTTATTTTCAACCCATTTAATTTTTTCTCAACCCGAGCGAGTAAATTCTCTAGTATTGATTGAATCATTCCAACGAATAATCCTAAATATTTTTCTATTGAATATTTATAAGATATTGAAGAATATTCGATAAATATTATTATTTTTGCCTATTGATAGACGCAAACAAAATAAACAATAGACTTGTGAAAATTCACGTTTTGGAGAAATTATAGAATATTACAGTAGTACGGTCACGTGATACATCTTGCATACGTGTTATAATATGGATGGATGATATGGTTTATTTTCCCCCTTTTTAGGGAATAATATTTATAAATATCCACTTATATTATAACACGTGTACAAGATATACCAATTTGTTTTCTTTTTTTATATTTATATTTTATTTTTAGAATTAAGAAAATATAACGTGGGTAGTTATGTTCCATAAAAGTAGGACCTATTATTTGATTTTGTTTTTCATTTTCATTTTTTTAATATGAAAAAATGTGAATTTACCATATTATCCTCATTTAATTAATAATTTCAATTCTTAATGTTTGAATTAACCAAGGGTATTTTCTAGTATATAATACTGATTATGACGAAGTGCAAGTATGAGGGCACTTTGGCAGCAAGTTCTGTGAAATGAGGCTTCATTTTGTTTTTTTCTGCCCTGGTCCAAAACGACGTCATTTTGGCTAGGGACTTGAAAAAAAAATGCATGATGTGCTGCGTGCAGCAACCCAGCAACACAACAAACAAAAAGGAATTTGCCTGAGGCATTTCCTTGAGCATTTTGTGGGCACTTCCATGGTAGAGTAGAGGTGCATATTCTGCCACCTCCAAAGCGTTTTCCGGCAAAAGGAGGTGCTATGCACCTCCTTGTGCCTCTGTGGGTCCGCCACTGAATGGATTACCTTACCTAATGCCCTAATAGGGAGAAATAAACCTTGAAATTGACCATCACCATTAAGGTGAACAGAAAAAGAAGTTTTAGGTACACAACATATAATCCAATTAATCTAACAATTATGAAAACCAAATTTTTGAAGAAGAAGATGGTGGCCCATTGGAGCTTCAAATGTTTAAAGCTTGAACTAAGGGTGTATTGTTGCCTATGATTGAATTGGATTGAATAACTCACTAGATTCAAGGTATGAAGGAGATTTTGTCCAATGCAAAGGTAAAAGATGAATTAGTCATGAAGGAAAACTTATCCATCAACAACTTATTATTAATCCCTTCTAATCTTCACAAAATGAAAAATCTGTCAACGCTACCTTTATTTCTTACTTCAGCATATATTGAATCTCATGAGTTATTCATTTCAATTCAACCTTAAGCACCAAACACGGCGTAAAGGAAAAAGCAACCACATCAGGTATGGTTGAAATTTGTGTAAGATTCTAAGCCCTGGATGATAGTCTTATATTGTTGAGAGTGAACTGAACTTAGTTTAGGGATTATGACAGCAGAGAAAGGGGTTTGTTGCGGCATGTGGGTGGTGATTGTGGTTGGGCTTAGGCGGTTTATAATTTTTAAATTTTTTATTTATAAACTTTGTGAAATATAGTGATTAAATTAGCTAAATTTGAAACGCAATGATAAATTATATTTCGGGCATAAATACATCGACCAAAAAGGTATTGAACTCACCCAAAAAAACACAGCCAATAGTATGTCTGCAGATAT